GGGACTACATCAAAATAAAAAGTTTCTGCACAGCAAAAGAAACCATCAACAAAATAACAGGAAAGTCCACTGCATGGGAGAACATATTTGCCAATGTTATATCTGATAAGGGTTTAATCTCCAACATTTATAGGGAACTCATACAACTTAACAAAAGGAAGATAAAAAATCCAATCAAAAAATGGGCAACAGACCTAAATAGAAACTTTTCTAAAGAAGACATAAGGAAGGCCAGAAGAGATATGAAAACATGCTCAAAATCACTAATCATCTGAGAGATGCAAATGAAAACAACGAGATACCATCTCACACCTGTCAGAAAGGCTATCATCAACAAATCAACCAACAAGTGCTGGCAAGGATGCAGAGAAAAGGGAACCCTCGTGTACTGCTGTTGGGAATGCAGACTGGTGCAGCCACTATGGAAGACAGTATGACATTTCCTCAAAAAGTTAAAGTAGGAACTTCCATTTAACCCAATAATCCTACTTCTAGGAATATATCCCAAGAAACCAGAAACACTAATCAGAAAGGATATATGCACCCCTATGTTCATAGCACAATTTACAATAGCTAAGATTTGGAAACAGCCTAAGTGCCCAGTCAGAGAAAGATAAATATCACATAATCTCACTCATATATGGGATATAATGGTTGACATAATTTGACGAACAACAATAGATCCAGAGACAAATGGCATGGTTGTGGGGGTTAGAGAGCAATCAAAGGACTTGTACGCATGCATATTAGCATAACCAATCGACACAGACAGTAGCAGGTGAGGGCATATTCTGGGGGGTGGGAATGGTCAGGGAGAGGTCAATGGGGGAAAAAAGGAGACTTATGCAATACTTTAAACAATGAAGAATATAAATTTTAAAAAAAGAAATAAAAGGCATCCAAATTGGAAAGTAGGAGGTAAAACTGTCATTATTTGTAGATGACATGATATTGTACATAGAAAACCCTGAAGACTCCACCAGGGAACTACTAGAGTTAAAAAATAAACTTGGCAATGTAGCAGGATACAAAATGAACACCCCAAAATCAATGGCTTTTTTATACACCCATAATGAACTCTCAAAAGAGAAACTAAAAAAACCAACAATCCAATTTACAATTCCAACAACAACAAAAAATAAGACACTTAGGAATAAACTTAACCATGGAGTAAAAGACCTGTACTTTGAAAAAGGATATAGAGGAAGATGCAAAAAATATGGAAACATATACCATGTTCATGGATTGGAAGAATTAACATCATTAAAATGTCCGTACTAGCCAAAGCAATCTATAGATTCAATGCAATTCCTATTAAAATACCAATAGCATACTTCACAGAACTAGAACAAATACTCCAAAAATTTATATAGAGCCATAAAAAACTCTCAATAACTGCAGCAATCTTGACAAAGAAGAACAAAGTTGGAGAGATCAGAATATTGGATATCAAACTATATTACAAAGCCATTATAACCCAAACAGCCTGGTACTGACTTTCCTATTGCAGCTCTTCGCCCTGGTGCTGAGATCTCAGGAGCCGCCAGTGGTGTCCAGCTGAGAGCTGCCCAGGAAGGAGAAGCCCAGCCCTCTCCCCCGCTCACCCTAAGTAACAGTTTTCCCCTCCCCCGGGTCCCCTCAGTCCTCTGAGCCTCCTCAGCACTCACTGTGTCTTAGTCTCACAGACGTCCTGCAAGGGCGCCCGGGGTGGGAGCGCCACGTGGAGAGGACTTTTTCTCCCCCGAGAAGTCATTGCTGAAAGTCACTAACAGATTCTGATGCTGGAGCCAAGGCACCATCTCGCCCCCTTCCCCAGCAGAGCCCTCGTGAGATCAGGTGCTCTGGGCCTGCTGTCACCCCACTTCCCAGACAGGACACTGAGGTGCATCGAACCCACACACAGGGGCTCTGCTTCCAGGTCAGGCATCCACAACCCATTCCCGTGCGGGGGAGGATGTGTGTCGGGAGGGGCAGTTTTGGGAAATTCTGTACTTTGGCTCAGTTTTGTTGTGAACTTAACACTGTTCCAAAAAGTAAAGTCTGTTAATTGAAAAAATCAGTCCCACCCATTGGGCTAAGCTGTGGGTTCTGGGGACAGTATCCATTTCGGTTGAGAGAGGATTGAGCTACTGGAAGAGAAAGTTCATGTGCACACACACATCTCTGTTTCTTTTGGGGGGTGTGGGGGGTGGGTAGCAGATCTAGGCTATATTTTGAAGGAAGTGACTAAACGGCTTCACCCTTTAGCCCAAACTCCCATTCTCAGTAGACCTTCCCACTGCTGTCTCCTCCTGCCCGTTCTTGTACTTGCAGGAATGAGGGACTGAGGTGGGAGACTTGCATGCAGAGGGGGTAGTAACTGGCGGAAACGTTTGTTTATAACCAAGCTGGGGTGTGTGCTGGTGCGTGTGTGAGTGTGTGGGCCCCGCGCACGGCCCTTGGCCACATCCCGCCACACTGTCCGGCTGTGCCGTCTGCCTGTGCTCCCTGCACCGGGCGAAGCCTGTACGTGGCAGGCACACACACTGCATGTCAGAGCAGAGCACGGGCATAGTGGGACTCCATCGGAAGGAAGGAGAGCGCACGGCCACTGCCGCCCCAGCACCGAGCAGAAAGCTGTGCCTGGGCCTCTCGGCCTCCTGCCCCCGTCTCCCTGTCCTGACGCCTCCCCAGTGGGGCTGATGCTCCTGCTGTTATTGTGGGGCTGTTCTCAAGGCTGCTGTTTTTACCTCTTCTCTCCCTGCACCGCCAAGTTTCAATGGTTCGAGGCAGGGAGGGAAGGCCTTGGCAGAGGAGGCTTAGCTCCCCTCAGTGGGAACGCGAACTTCCTTTTACCTGCAGCCTTTGCCCATTCTGCTGGGAGGGGCCGGGGGTCCAGCAGAACAGGGGACTGCAGGGTGTCATGAAGCTGGGTGTCATTTGTCACACAGACTCCCCGTACCTTTTAAAGAGGTCCACCTCCGCCTGGTCCCTCTTGCTCATGAGCAGGTTTCGACTGTTTTCAAAGACATCTTCGATCTGGTCTGGCCAGAGGAAGAGGGTGCTGTTCAGCTTGATGTCCTCGTCTGCAAAACACATGCCCCTGCTCAGGGCTGCGTGTTGCTTCAGCGAGAGGACAGGAGGGCGGCGGGCGTGGCCGGCAGGGCGGGGCCCGCGGTGGGGTGACAGCCCCATCACTCAGGCTCACCACGGCCCGGCCGCCGGAAGGCAGGCCGCGTGACCCCTCGGTTTCACAGGTGGGCAGCAGTAAGGAAGGGGCCGAGGTCACACCACGAGAACGTGGGCGCAGGCTGGAAGCCCAGGTCTCAAAGCCTCGCCAGCCACGCCCCCACGTCTGGCCTGACCGCCTCCCAGGCGGGGAGTGGACTCAAAGCCTGGGGTGATGTTCGGGTTCTAATCTCTAAACAATTTCCCTCACTGAGTTACGTGTCAGTAATGATATCCATGCCAGATGTCCCACCTGACACGTGGCTCCCCCTGCACCGTGGCTGAGGAGGCAGAGCGCAGTGAGAGTTCCCAGGGCCTGCTCACCCCGAGGCACAGCCCAGGACTGTGTCACCCCCAGGTTCCTCGCTCCTCCCTCAGCCCCACCCTGTGAACACCGGGCATCCACAGGTGTTTCCAGGCGAAAGCAGCTCTGAGGCGTGGCTGACGAAGGCCAGCACATCAGCTTCTCCTGCAGAACCTGGTCTTTACAAACTCTAACTTGGCCCGGCCACACTGTGAGGGCCCGGCCACACTGTGA